ACTAAACAACCCCTGTCTTCCCATTCGTAGCAATAAATTAAGATTTCTTTGAGACATGCCAGCTCATTGTCATTTTCTTCCATGCACTTCGTCAAATAACATGGACTCCTAAAATTCTTAACATCGAAGTAACAACGCTCTTCTTCCTGAGAAGAAATAATATGTATAGTATAACTTTTCATGTTTTTTGTTTTTGTTTTGCGTGCACAATTTTCTTGGATTTTTACATTGATATCTTCATACAATGAATAGTACCAGAGGTACATTACTTGGGGTTTGCAACTCGCATAGTACTGTATGGTGACATCATGTCAAGATGCCATTCAAGTCTCTTCTCGTAGATAGCGAGACTGAGGCTACGACCTTCTGACATGACGCGTATCAATGTTCAAGGTTTGTAATGAAAAAAATAAACTTTTCTTGTCACTATCATAGTGAAAAATGTAATACATCGAAAATGTACAGAAAATATAGTTCTCGTAATCCGTCATATCGTGGGCAGCTATTTTGATCCACCTGGACATCCCAATATCCTAGTTACCTCGGGCATGCGCATTCGCATTTTTTCTGAGTTGGAACGCTTATGCGAGAGCGAGATTGTGACGGGATCTTGGTATCATGTCACCGTAGTTACAAACCCCAAGTAATGTACCTCTGATAGTACACAGTTCTGTGTGTAATATAAACATTGAAAAACAGACGATTTTCCGTTCAACTGCGAGATCTCGCGAGTCGCGTGAAAGACGCGCGTCGAACTTTTGCCGCAAAAATCGAAAGATTTGATTTTGAACTCGAACTTTTTTATTTCGTAGCTCACATCGAAAGGCCGATCTTTGACAGGGGAATATTGCGTTTGAACACCCTTACTTTTTCAAAATTGACCGTCATCAAATGTGTACAGCACATTATTAACCATGGAAATAACCCCAAAAATACTTTCTCGTTTGTCGAATCCCAGTTCGATACGCGTTACTTATCATCACTGCACAAAGTAGTTTATAAATAAATAAACGCTGCTCGGACTGATAAATATGATATATAGAAGATAATATTTGGTAATCGTAGGCCTAAATAACTATTAAAAATAGCTAGACGTTTCGAGCAATGGCTCTTTATCGATAGCATAGAAGAAAGTGTGTGTTATTTAGGACTACGATTACCGAATATTATCTTCTATATATCACTGCACAAAGCAGCTTTGCATAGAACTCATTTGCATATTCGAATATGTTCGAACTACAAGACCCCGTCGGTTAACACAGTTACGCTTAAGCCACCGTGTTACTTGAATCACTTTAATAAAACGATTTACGTCCTAAATCTGAAAGAACTGTTCGGTTAATTAAATTAAAACACACATGTTTTACGCTTGGAAAGTGCAGTCCTTTCAAAGTTATCAAGACATTACATTATACAATAAATTACTAACTTTATAAACTTATTAGAACCTGTGTGTTCTATAACTGTTAGACGCGGATAATCGAATCCGTTCAAGCTACAAATAGTATTGAAATATTCACCAGAAAACAAGACGAACGGATTTGTTAGGAAATCCCTTCGAGAAAAATTAGTGTTTAACGTTTCTTCCCCCATCTTATGTACATAAACAAAACGCTGTTTTCCCTAGTTTTAGTTTATCATGTGCGCCAATTCACTACAATAACATTACCTTGCAAAACATAGTCCGTGATAAATTGCTTCGTATTTACGTTTTTACTGAAGTCTGACATTAATAAATAGTTCGGATGTCACATACGTTTTTTTTTCCCGTTTTTGTAATACATTTTCAGATGCCAGTGTAACAACTACTGGAAAATGACCGTGCGTAGTGAGGTGATTGACCACAAAATTGAAGGCTGTCTGTGGCAAAGGCACTATTGCGTAAAGCGCAAAGGCCTCTGGGAAGGAGATTGATTTTTACGTTCGATTTCATACATAACGCGGGATCTCGCAGAGAACGGAAAATGGTATATTACAAATATATGGGTTTTATAAAGAAAACATGTAGACTAACTGGAGTTGTTATTGTCTGATCTGCCCTGCATTGTACCCTGTACCCCTTTCTCTCCGTGTTACGACTAAGCTCTAATCGTATACTGAAAAACCATATTAAATTTCTAGAAATTTGGACATTGGGCGTTTAAAAAAAAACGAATCAAGTTCCAATCCAATTCAAGTTCCACATTGACAAATATAAACTATGACATGCATTACGTAAAACTAGTTAAAACATGCGTCAATCAAAAGAGTACATCAACTTCGATTTACTTTCATGTCTAGGTCATTGTGGGTCTCGTCACTCGCCGACTCAAATTCGTATTCACTCATACGTTGTTCCATTCCTGTACACTGGGGGCGCTCTGTCATATCCACGATTTTGTGAAAGAATTCTTCGTAACGTATCAACGCATCGCTGAACGACAACTTTCTAGATAAATCTATAAATAACAAGAATTGATTGAATGTGTTTAGTTCATTCGAAAATCACCGATTCATTTAAAAAACATAAAACTTAATCAAAAATCAATAAATAAATAAGTAGGAAATAAAATAAATTAAGTAGGATATAAGAAATTTAAAAAATATACGCGGAAAATGTGAACAACTCATTAAATATGTTAATGATTATATACTAATTGGAGGGAGACATCATGAACATACCATCTGCATGTGCTTGGTCCTGATAATTCGCCACGCCCGCGATAACGTTTCTATTCAGCTTCCACTTAAAACTCACCATCTTGTGGTGCCCTTCGTGTAACAAATAATGTCGCCACCACAAGTGAGGGATGAAGAGCGTGTCGCCCTCGTTTAACTCAATGCTTAGCCGGTGGGCATGCCTTACTCTATGGAAACCCAAAAGAGATATATTAACAGTGTTTAATAATGTGCAAAATATCGACACGCGTCATTAAAATGCTAATAATTAAATACCTAGGAAATTTCTCAAGATCCATATTTGTGAAACTGATGGGAGATACGCCTAGTTGGTCTCCGTCGTCGCCGTACACGTCTTTACTATATAGGGGCGACACGAGAGTCACGGTCTGGTTGCCTTTTACAGCGCACAAAAAGACGTCGTCATCTTCTATGTGCACAGAGGTACTCGTCCCACCACTACCTATCTTCAAAAAGCTACCCATTTTCTGTACATACATGTTGTCGCACCGTAAACACGTTGGTAGAATAACGCTGTCTGCAATAGAGAACACAGGCTTTTAGTTACATCACAGTCCCTCTGGGGGACTGTGGTTATATACACTATTATGTTAATATGAAGTGCAAAGAACAGGAATGCGTAAAAATCCCAATAATTGATTTCAAGCACTCAGTTCAGCTCCGCCTGCTGATGCCAACAATCACTAGCTTGAGTAGCATAGCAAACCTTCAACATGTGATGTAATTCAACGTATATCTACTAGGTATGCACGTAGTCGTCGTGGACCCGGGGGGGGGGCTACTTGCATAGAAGTGCAATACGGGTATGTGCCGCCCGACTGGGGTCTCATTTCATGTTATTTTGTTTAGAAGTGGGTGCGTCATTTATCAGTGGTTTGGTTTAGAAGTGTGTAGCATTCATTTACTTTTTCACAGGTCCTTATATTCAAAGCCAAATACTGGAAAAGCTGAATAAAATGCATTGCCTAGATGCGCTCACTGGTTGCGAAAGTTGTGAGCTGGGTGTTTTTTTTTCGTTGAAAACACTTGTGTTTAGAAGTGGGTATATAAATAGAAAAAGATGGTTTATAAGTGAGTATGGTTTACGAGAGGTGGGCTTCACACCCTTACCCAATTAATGTGGAAGTAAAGACACCCCCCCCCCACCCCCGGTCGTCGACGCAGGCGATAACTTGTCATTCACTCGCCTAAGTCTCGTAAACGTACCATGTAACTTCGACACGATTTCGTGCGAGAACTCAAGATGATGTTTCTCATAGGATTCCATGAAATTTTCAATAGTCATAGTTATTCCTTCTTCGTCTTTATCATGGGGTCGCTTAACGAATACATCTACACCATGGTATGCGTGGGATAAGTACTTATCTGTCCAGTCGCTAAACGCAGGCCAATATCTAACCACATCTTCCAAAAAACAAGAAAATGAAAACTGTTTTAACAGAATTATTAGAATAAATGCTGTCAAAAAAGGAGATGAAGATCATTGATGGAGAATTATCATTTTTATCATGTATAATCATTATCATAGTTATACAGCCTATCATATCCCCATCGAAGAAGGTGCAATTTAATTCAGATGAGTCATGTAATGTTGTAATTGCATACCAATTAGCGGTCCGTATAGCCGAAATAAGTACGCCTAAAATCAATCTGATTAACATAGTTGAACTCTGGTGACCTTGCCCTTTGTTATATAATATAATTCCCTTTATCATAGTTTGGTTCAATATAAATATGCATTGTCATAATTAATTTTGAATACAAACAAGTTTTGGGGTTGAACCAACAGTGGGGAATCAGTCTACCGAATGTCCTTAAAAGATGTAAATATCTTACAAAAACATTGGTGCCTTATTTGTTTAATTATTTTAAGGAACATAATTTCCAGCTTTATTGAAAGTAATTGAGATATTTTAGAATAAAAACAAATGTCTCATTGCAAAAAAAAAGTGCTGCATTTAGATGTGAATAGATTCATAAAACATGCAAGATAACAGAAAAATTTAGCTGGCTTTAGTCCAAGTATTTTGTACAGGTGTCTGTCAAAAATGAATGATTCACTGAGACAAATATAAACTGCCTCATTGTGTGACTACTGTATTATATGAAAAGTAAAAAAAAAAAACACCCTTTATGAATAGCTATCATGTTGCAAGCTCTGCTTTGTATGCAAATCAATTTAAATAGTTGGTGTCCAGTGGAGGGAGAAGTCAACAGTACTGTTGCCTCCTGAGAATCTACATCTTCAACACTGCAATCTCTGAAGTGCGTT